CCCACTCCAGGGTCTTAGTCTCAATCTCTTGAGAGCCTCAGTAATATCTCTGATACAACTCTACATCCTCTAGAGGCGGGAAGCAATCAAGAAAATGTAGTCAAGGAATTCAAAAGGATTGTGGATAACCAATAAGCCTTTCTTGACATGTCTCATGCTTCGCCTGACATTCAGACTGATGATTTTATTGAGTTGTTCCAGCAGTTGAAGTCCAGAATTGTCGATATAGACCTTATTCAAACAATCAAGTATAACCCAATTGTCTTTTTTGAGATCCAAGGGTTATTGTTGAAGCTAAACAAGATAAAGGTGCCAAATCCTATTGTTGACTTTGTCTTACACTTTGAGCCTCTTCTTGAACAAGTCGTTCAAGTTGTTGGGATTAAACGTGATTAAGTCAATCAACTTGAGAGAATAACTCATGTCATGCTCGAGCAACAAAGCCTAGTTCTTCATTAACACTAACATAGCGCTAAATTATCGCGACTCGATTAAATTCTTATTAACACTAACATTGACATATTAATTGTGCTAACATCTAACATTTATTTTATGCTCTTTGCATTTATGTTATTTTATACTCTTTGCATTTATGTCATTTACTTTTATGCCTTTACTATTATATCATTTTACATTCATTATCATTTAATTCTAGTTGTTATTTTTTGCTTTTATTGATTTATTATCTTAAAAGAACAAAAGACATGATAAAATGGCTAAGATCCTAAAAAACATTTATTCACTCATGTGGAATTTGTGTTACTATCCCTTGCTTGAGGAGTATTTTTAACCTTGGACATTAGGACTTAGTATTTCCCTTTGCTTGGAATGACATCTGAGACCTTGTGATCCATCTGAGACATAACGATTCATCTAAAACCTTTGGAATTTCATTTCAAGATGTGAAGGCTCTTTATGGCTTCATGACCTTGATTTTCCATCTAGTTTTTCTTTAATATTCAATTGTGCCTGTTGCTTGTTCATCTTGTGACTCAACCCAAAGGAAAAGGAATGCTTATTTTGACCAATGTCAAAAATGCTTGCCTCTTCTTGTGGTTAGTGCACTTACACACACAAAGGCTTTCTCTTGGGCTACCTGACACTGAGATCATTTACTTTATGCTTTAGGATAGTCACTTCATCTCCTTCCCACTTCTTAAATTTTCAAAACTTCTCTCTATTTCAAAACCTTCTTGTTTTCAAACTTCACACCTCTTTCTCAATAAATATTGACTTTGTCAAACGATCCAGAAAATCGTTTCTCAATAAATTTGTTAAAACACTTAAGGATATTCAAACTCTTTTAAATAATTCTAAAAAGGACAAACCTCATAAAAACTCATTTTTGTGCCTTTGTGCACTTTTCTTTAAGAGCATTTTTTGAAAAGATTAGATATTATTCTATTGTCATAGTGATGAAAACTAATATACTTCTACAAAATACTGATAAATGACTGACATTTTCCACTTGAATATTGAGATGTACTTGTGAGAAATTCCAAGTAAAAGTTCTCCATATCAAGATGATGCAAATGCTCATTTCCTTATACTTGTGGGTACTAAGTTGAGTTTTTCCATTCGAATACGAAAAAATTTCTTCTCATTTAAAATCAATCAATAAACAATCCATCTTTTTATAAACACATATTTGCAAGTGGTTCCCGTTGAGTACAATGGATTCAAGGGGTGTTAATACCTTCCCCTTGCACAACCAACCCCCATATCCAGATCTCTTTTTTTTTTTAGCTTTTTGCTTTTTGTGGGTTTTGTTCGACCTTTTCCATTTTTTTCTTTGGAAACAATAAACTTCGATGGCGACTCTTGCTTTCTTGATTTAAGATAATCAATAGCTTAATCTCAATAACTTTTCTCGTCGCGACAAGGACAAGAAACAACTTTGTTCGAGGGAGTTTGGTCAGTGGTTTCCGTAACGTCATTTCTAGTCATTTTCACTTAGCATTTCATCACATTTTGATCGTTTTACTTTCGCTTGCCATATTTTACACTTTGGTTATGTGTTCTTACTATTTTTAGGGCCTAATGAGCATTCGAGATAAAAAGGGATCGGAAATAAGCAAAACAAGGAAAAAAGTCGAAAGTTGAATTTTCTCCATACAAAATCCAGGGGGCTGCTACGCCCTCCTGTAGCAGCTGCTACGAGCCATATCAACAAGGGCGCATAGGTTTTTCAAGTTTGCATCTCTAGTACATTAACCAAGGGCCTGCTACGCCCACCTGTAGCAAGAAGATGTGACTTATTTGTTTCCTTTCTTTTTTAGCTTGATCCTCGTGATTGTGACACTTATGTATGATTTGATTTAATTCATACGTAATGGGAATTTAACCAAAGATTTTATCCTAGTTTTAGTTTTTTTCTATAAAAATCATAGTTTGTTATGAGTTTGGGATCCCAGATTTTATTATGTAAAAGTTTCAATGTATATTCCAATTCTTATGTACTCAAGTCTCCTTTGGAGAAATTTAAATCAAAGTCATTAATTTAGGTTTTATATTTGTTTTCATATTCAACTATTTGTCTATTTCAATTGTATTTTATGAATTTAGTTATGATCATCGAATGGGTTTTGTCTTCCCTCACCATGAGTGAGTAATCCATTAGGGACTAGGGATTATGGGGATCATCTTATAACCTTTTGTATGATCCATCACATATCGATTGCAAAAGTATTTGCCTAAATTTATTTTATTGCTTGAGTTCATGCATTCCAACTATTATACGAAAGTAAAATGTTCCCACGTATCGATCATAGTCTGAAAGGATATGTGTTGATACCGGATCGCATGTTCACTACAAGAAAAAATGGAATTAGCCAGGTGATTATGTCATGTGATAATCACCTCGTAAAATAATGCACTTGCAGGGTGTTTTTCACCTTGCAACATAGTTAAAAAAAAATAATAATAGGTTTTTCCCTTACGCAACAGATGGAGGGAAATTTGAAATTTTTGAAAAGAAAGTTGCGAAGTGAAAAACACCCCGCAACACAGTTTAAAAAATTTTGGGGGGAATTAAATGTTGCAATTAGTAATGGTCAGGGTGGCAGGTGACCTTTTTTGACCTTTTTTTGACACAAGGGTTGCGAGGTGGGATTTACTTCGCAAGTCCCAACGGTAACATGCGTTGCAAGGTGGCATTTACTTCGCATCACCCAACAGTCAGATCATTAACTTTTGTACATAGTAGCAGTATAGGCGTGACTGACACAAGGTTTGCAAAGGGATATTCACCTCGTAAGTCCCAATGGTCGGTTTAAAAAGTTGCGGGGTGATTTTCACCTCGCAAACTCCTAATAAATACCACCGCTTCATCTTTTATTTTCTATAAACACTCTCTTAAGTCTTCTTTCTTTCTTTCTCTGAAACATTTTCTCTCCTTCTTTCCCAACCCTCTAAAATTCTCTCAAATCTCCAAAGGCATCAAAGATTCAAATTTTTTGCTAGAGCTGGATTTAGATTTGCTTTAAAGTTTTTCATCAAATTCATTTATTAAGGTACACATATGAAATTAATTTTTAGAATTTTTTTTGATGAATATATGTTGTTGATATATGTAAATGATGAATATATGTTTATGATATTTGCTGGCAATGTTGATGATTTGTTTTTAACAATTTTTTGTGTTAATAATCTGTTTTTTTTTTAAATGATGAATATGTAAATGATGACTATATGTTTATGATTTGTTAATAAAATTTTTTAGTGTTAAAATTCTGTTTTTAAATTTGTTAAAAACAACTTTTTTTCTCGTTTTTTCATAAATAAATAATATTATAGATTTTCGTTTACTATTTTTGTAAAACAGTTTATAATATACAATTGATATTATAATATATATAATATTATAGATATATATAATATACAATTTAAACTGAATATTATATATCTAAAAATAGAATAATTTTATTTTTTTAAAACAGTTAAATATTATTTTTTTTAAACAGAGTATTATTATTAATATTATATTTCAAAAAACAGAATAATATTATTTTTAAAAATATTTATATTAATATGGTTTTTTATTAACAGAAAAATATTATTTTTTTTAAAATAGAATATTATTATTTTAAAAAATTTATATTAATATTATATTTCTAAAAACAGAAATTTCTTTTTTTTAAACCGAATATTTATATTAATATTATATTTTTAAAAACAGAAAAATATTATTTTTAAAAACGTAATATATTTTTTTTAAAACAGAATATTATTATAATTTATAAAAACAGAATATTATTAACATTTGTAAAAATAGCATATTAATATTTCTAAAATCAAAATAATATATATTTTATAAAAAAAGAATAATATTTTTATTTTAAAAAATAAAAAATTATTATTTTTATTATATATTATTGTAAAAATCAGAATATTATAGATATTTGTAAAAATAGCATATTATTATTAAAAAAGTGAATAATAAAAAACAAAAAAAATATCATGTAAGTTTAAGATAAAAATGTTATATATTTTAAAAAACAGAATAATATTATTATTAAAAAACTAAATATTAATTTTTTTAAAACAGAATATCATTATTATTATTTAAAAACATAATTTATTTTATTATTTAAAATAGGTTCTATAATTTTATATTTTTTAAAGTAGCATATTGTAGTAACATAGTTAATGATATTATGCTAAATATAATAAATAAATAAATATATATTGTAGTAACATAAATATTATATTAACATTTTGTTACTTTTTTTAATATGTTATTATTATATGATAGTTGTAATATATTTTTAAAATAGTATTGTAACATAATTTTTTAATAGCATTATTATTTTATAAATAGTATGTTATACTATAATTTAAAAATGAAAATTTAATTCATAATAACATGATTATATTATTTATTATGTTTTTAACACAAAATTATATATGTTAATAACATGGTTAAAAATATTTTTGTGATTATAATGGGTACGATATTGTAAAAGTGCAGTATAGAATATTATAAGTACTATCGTAGTTGGATGTATGATCGTATGTATGCTGGAAGACGCAGACTTAAACCACATTTTGAAGGAGTTAAAACCTTTATTACATGGGGATTTGGTCAAGAATGTTGTCAGAGAGAAGGAGGAGTAAGATGTTTGTGTCTTAAATTTGGATGTAGACGTATAATAAGTAAACCAGAAGAAGTAGAAACTCATTTGAAGAGAAAGGGATTTAAGGATAATTATTGGGTTTGGATATCAAATGGGGAAGAAATGTCGACGAATATGTCAGAGACTAGTAATTTACAACAGAGTTCAAGTATTCAATCACATATGGAATATGAAGAACAATTTAATCTACACGATGATATGATTGGCGATGCTTTAGGGGTGAGTGTGGCCTATGATGAACAACAAGATAGTGATGGGAAGAGTTGCCGAATGAAAAAACTCAAAAAAATTATCAGTTGTTGAAAGAAATAAACACACAATTATTCGAGGGTTCGTCAGACTCTAAATTATCTATTTGTGTGAGATTATTGGCTGCAAAGTCAAACTGGAATGTTCCTGATCAGTGTTTGAAAATTTTTTCTCAAATGATGTTGGATGCGACTCCTACGAAAGACAATTTGCCTAGAAGCTATTATGACGCAAAAAGGTTGGTTATGAAGTTGAGTTTAGAAGTAAGGAAGGTTGATTGTTGTATTAGAGGTTGCATGTTGTTCTATGATAATGAGTTTGATACAAACGATTGAGCGTTAGAGGAATGTAAGTTTTATAACAGTCCAAGGTATATAGTTCACACTAAAGCCATTGATCGTAACAAAAAACGCATAGTAGTGAAATTAATGTTTTATCTGCCGATAATACCATTGAACCCCATTAATGCAAGAGGTTCATGAGAGGACTTATCGGGAAAGAGATGTAGAGTATAGCGACGAACATGCTAGAAATACTCAAGTAAGATGATATTAATATTTAAATGTTATATTTAAATTTTTTATTTCAATTAACTGCCTAAACTCTATTAATTTAATTTTTTACGTATGTGTAAGCCGAGTACCAAAGACTGAAGGAAGAATTTTCATCTCAACATCCCGAGTTAGGTGGTCCATGAGGGCAGCATTCTATTGATTCAGCTGTTGATCAATATATTTGGTTGAAAGCAAGTAAGGGAAAGAATAAAAAAGGGAAAATTTATGATGTTGGACCTTTAGCTAGCATACAAAAGGGGATAGGTTTTCTTTATTTAGGAGAATTACAGACGGGGAAGGGTGTTCGCGTCCTCCTATATTAACCTCTCAAATGACTGAAACAATTAGACAGTTAACTCAAAGTGAAACAGCACATGAAGCTGCGACATGTGAAGCTGCAAATAACGATGAGTTGGAAGAAATGAGAAGAAAACAAATTGAGTTTGAAGAAGCATTGAGACTTTCACAAGAGCAAATAATGTGTACATAACAACAAATACAACAACAAATGCAACAACAAATGCAACAAATGTTTCAACAACAATATGGTGGTGGTGGAGTTGGAGCGGTTGGTAACTAAAGAGCGGTAAACGAGAATGATGAAGAAAACAAGAGTGACAAGGAAGACTATTTGGATTTATGATGATGAATTTAAATGTTTTGAATTAATTATGAACTTATTTAATTATGGGTTTTTAAAATTAAGTATGAATTTAAATATTTTTAGTCATTTATGAATTTAACATTTTTAATTAACTTCTGAATTAAAAATATTTATTAAATTTATATTATTATAAATATATCATTTTTTATTATATTATTTATCATTTGCGTGGTGTATTTCATTTGGAAAATTCAAAACTTTTGCTAGGTGAAATTCACTCAGCGATATTCTTTATTTTCAAAATTTGTCAGGTGAAATTCACTCAACAACATTCCAAAATTTGGCAGGTGAAATTCATCTCGCAACTTTTTTCCTATTTTTTGCGCTCCACTGTTCTACTCTGCTATACTCTGACATGATGTGTTGGCTGCTGTGAATTCTAGAAAAGGGGTTGCGAGGTGAAATACATCTAGCTAACTTGCGGCGTGATTTTCTCTTTACAATTTTTTGCGACTAACATTTTTGTGAGGTGTCTGGTACACCCCACAATAGTTGCGTTGCAGGGTGATATTTGCATTTGCGAAGTGTTTTTCACCTGGCTAATTTCACTTTTTCTTGTAGTGGTTTTTTTCCCACAAACAAATCCAATACAGCGAAAGCGCTTTGACGAATTTGAGAAAACTTTATAGCTGAGTAAAAGTAATGAATTGTTGACGAACAATTCGGCTATGCGAAAGCAGGCAGATTATTCGCCACCGATAAGGCAATGCACCGGCGAAAGCAGATACCCACGTTTATCTATTTTCTATAAATTATGTTGAACACTCGTAATAGAAGTGACTTGGATCATATGAGTGTTTTAGAGTGAGAACCATAACCCTAGGTCATGTTTGTCTCAATTTGAATTTAAGTGATTTTGCAAATAAGCTATTTTAATTTAAGTGCTTTTTTACTTAAATTGTTTTCATAAAAACTCATATTATTGATTTCTCTAGGTATACATCAATAGGGCGGAATTCGGTAATTAAACCATTGATCTTTGTGGTTCGATAATTTTTTACTAGTTCGCATGATTATTCACTTGCGGCGTGTTAATCCCATTTCTTCCTCCCACGCTGCTTTGTGATAACCTGAGTACAATGCATCTCTCTCATAATCCTATTCTCCATATCCAAACTAAACATGTAGAACTCAATATTCACTTTGTGCGTGTGTTTTCCATGAAAATTGGTAAACAACCACTGATCTTCTAAATCTAACTTTGGTGACTCACATGATCGATCAGATTGATCCTAGGACATGTGCTAACAATTGATTCAAAGTAAATTCTGAAGACTAAACACTTCGACAGCGTTCATAAAGAGAAGTTTATCTAAAAGTATGGTTCGAAAGAAACGCAAGAACATTAAATCAAAAAAAAGGCTGAAGACATCAAAGAAAAGCTGAAAAAATAAGACATAATGCTGAAACATAACTTGCAATAAAATAAAAGATAATTTTTTGAGGAAAAGTTAAAGTAAATTGCATGAAAGAAGAAAATAGTGTTTACATCACGTACATTCTCCCAAGCCTCTTTTCTCTACACGGGGATACTTTGAGTAAATCTAGAGTAACTTGTACAAAGTGAACACCACTCGTAATCCTATTGTTAGATATCCTATTTATAATAACAAAACTAATCGCTGTTAACTTCCTAAAACAATTAACATATGACAAGTGTTGCGTTGCCTTCTTTTGTCCCTTGGATGTGCACCACTTGTCTTATTCAGGAGTGGACAAGAATAACTGCTCCCTCCTTTATTTGAATTTTGAATTCCCTTAGCGTCGGACATCATCAGTATTCTCGATCGAAGGTAGCTTCTCAACTCTTAGAAATATTTTCTAAGTCCAAAAAGTATCCTTTCCTTATGTGAGCACCTTCAACTTAAACCTATCATGAAAATCGAGTCGAAAACTCCTTTAAACCTCTTCAAGAGTTTAATATTCCAATCAAAACTTCCAACTTAATATGGGCGTTGTAATACCCTAAATTTTGCCCTAAGATTAGTCGATTCATATAGCATGACATCCCATTTTTGCATCTGCTAACTATTAACAGGTTATGTAGTGTGCTTATTTTTGCAAGAATTACATCGGGTATGCTTTAACTGTGAAAAGGACAAGATGGTCATTTGTACATTATTTACTGCCCATTTTTGAAGATGAGTTGTCACCAGGGTTTTTTGAATGATTAGAACCTCCATCTCCGAGTTCTTTATTCTCGCGAAGATGAACGAAAAGTCACGACATTTATGGCATCAGGATTTTTTTGAGATACGACTTAATTCAACGGGTCGAGACTCTGTCGTCAGTGGATTTCCGAGACATTTATTTTGTCACGTGGATTTGATTATGTTGGGACATCAAATTTGGTTCGGTTTGTAGAAGCAAGCTTCATCTCAAAGTTTTGATGACGTTAACATCAAGATCAAGAATAATTCATCTGTGCAAAAAGGCAAACACTTTCAAAAGACCAAGATCAAGTGGAATGGAAGTGATCAACATTCAAAGCTTCATGAACATTTGACTGATCAACTTTCAAGTTTTGGACACAAGCTACGGTATATCAAAATTCATTAATTTAATTGATATACAAGTGTTCAACATCTTTGTCATTTAATCATTGCATAAGCATATCTTTTAAAATTATGAGAATTGGTATAACACTATTTTTTATAAGTATTTTTCTGAAAAATAGCAGTGTTAACCGATTAACCATATAGGTTAACCGGTTAACCATTTCAAATTTTGAATATTTATGTATAACGTTCAAGTGTTAACCGATTAACCATATAGGTTAACCGATTAACACTGAACGAATTTTGAAAAATGGCTTTGTTTCAAGTTCAAAAATAGTTTGAAAATTGTACCAGTTCATATTTTGAAATGCACTCAAATATACCTGTTGGAAAAGGTGTGTTTACACATATAAATTCTGAGTTTTTCAATTTTGAAAAATACCTCCAAACACCTCCAACATTCATTTTCAAATATTCTTAGAATCAAATTCACCATTTTCAAAATCCTTTCTAAGTGTTCATAATTGCATAAAAAATTTTCATATTCATCTGTTGAACACTTGTGTTGAAAATTATAAGAGTGAATTTTGATCATTTGGAGAAGATCAATTTTGATTGATATTATTATTCACAAAACAAAATCATTACAAGTATTTGTATTCTGACTTGTGATCCAGGATTGTTGGACACAAGGGTGAGTGTTTACAAGAGGATTGTTCTTGTACACTTGTTAGTTTTATTGTTTGATAGTAGGCCTCACCGGTTGATGGTGTGATAGGTTGTACTTTATTAAACAATAGTGAAAATTCTCTTTCATGTTGAAAGGGGAGTGGAGTACTCTCGGATTGTGAGGGGAACCACTATAAATCCTGGTGTCCACTGTTCTTTTACTTTCTACTGCTTTCATAACCAAGAACACAAACCAGTAAAATTTCAAGAAACCATAAAAACCGGAAAAAGTTCTAAAGTCCTAATTCACCCCCCCCCCCCTCTTAGGCGTACTCTGTACTTGCAATTGGCATCAGAGCAGGTTAAGGTAACCTGTTCCTATCGATCCTAATGGCTTCCGCTAGTACTAACCCGGTTTTCAAAGATGGTGGAAGTAGTAACAAGTCACCACTCTTTTCTGGAGAATACTTCGACTTTTGGAAAATCCGTATGAAGGCACATCTTGAGGCTCAAGAAGATGGTATATGGGAAACCGTAGAAACTGGTCCACATGTTCCTACAAGTGTGGTAAATGGTGTTGGAACTCCACAGATAAAATCCTCATATGATGAAGATGACAAAAAGAGAATCTTGAATGAGAAGAAAGCAATCAACATACTTCAAAGCGCT